CATAGAGAAAAGAAATAGAAAATAGGGGAAAAAAGAGAGGAAATCAGTGAAACCAAAAGTTGGTGCTTTAACAAGAACTGCAGAATTGACAAACCTTTACCTAGATGGACTAAGAAAAAAGAGAGAAGGCTCAAATAACGAAAATCAGAAATGAAACAGGGGTCATGACAACCAATTTTACAGAAATCAAAAGGGTTAATAGAGAATACTATGAATAATTGCTGGTCAACAAATTAGATCATCTAGATGAAATGAATGAATTCCTACAAACATGCCACCTACCAAGAGTGAATTATGAAAAAAAAAAAAGTTTGAATCGAATTATAGCTGGTAAGATGAGTGACTATTCTTTTTTGGTTTCCTGATGCAGGACTCCCTTGAGGACTTCTCACAGAGCTGGTTGCATGGTGGTGAACTCCCACGGTTTTTGTTTGTCTGAAAATACACTATTTTTCTCTCATTTCTGAAGGTTAGCCTTGCTGGGTATAGTATTCTTGGCTGGCAGTTTTTTCTTTTAGTATTTTGAATATATCATCCCATTTTCTTCTGGCCTGTAGAGTGTCTGTTGAGAAGTCTGCTGTTAGTCTGATAGGGGCTCCCTTATAGGTGACTTGATGCTTTTCTCTTGCTTCTTTTAAGATTTTCTCTTTGTTTTTGCCAGTTTGACTATAATGTGTCTTGGAGAAGATCTTTTTGGGTTGAATCTGTTTGAGGATCTTTTGAACCTCCTGGATCTGAATGTCTGTATCTCTCCCTAAACCTTTGAAGTTTTCTGTTTTTATTTCGTTGAGTAGGTTTTCCATGCCTTTTCCTTTCTCCTCCCCTCCTGGAACACCCATTATTCAAATGTTTGTGTGCTTAAGATTGTCTGCTAGCTCTGTTAGATTTTCTTCATTTTGTTTAATTCTTTTTTCCTTTTTTTCTTTTTTTTTTTTTGGTCTGCCTAAGTTATTTTGAGAAGACTGTCTTCAAGATCAGAAATTCTTTCTTCTGCTTGTTCTAGCCTGCTGTTTAAGCTCTTGGTTGTGTTTTGTATTTAGTTGAGTGAATTTTTCAGTTCCATGAGTTCTGCCATGTTCTTTTTTTAAGGTATTAATCTCTTTGTAAATTTCCTCCTTCATATTCTCAATTTCTTTTCTCATTTCATTATGTTGTCTACGTCATCTCGTATCTCAGTGAGTTTCCTTAAGACTGT